CGCCACCTTAGGTGTACATGGCTGACGCCTTAGCCGGTTGAGCTATAGGCGCCGAGCCAGATTTAGAGATTTCTAAGTAAATTATATCTATTCATATGGTGAATACCATATAATCATTAAAGACTTGGCGCCTATAGCTCAGTAGCTAGGGTGCCAGCCACATACATTGAAGCTGGCAGTTTCAAATCCAGCCCGGGCCTGCCAAACAAAAATGACAACTATAACCAAAAAATAGCCGGGCATTATGGCAGGTGCCTGTAATCCCAGCTATGTGGGAGGCTGAAGCAAGAGAATTGCTTAAGCCCAAGACCTTGAGGTTGCTATGAACTGTGACACCATAGCACTCTACCCAGGGAGACATAGTGAGACTCTGTCTCAAAATAAATAAATAAATCATTAGAAGTCTACCTTTAAGAAAGACATCTAATAACATGAGAAAATAATTCATAATGAATTTATGAGTGTTTGAAGCAGATTAGTAGAATCCTCCTCTGAATTCACTGATACATGGAAATAGGATCAGGATACCTAGGCTTTGGTCCCACATCTGCCCTGCTACCTGTGAGATCAACCTTGGGTCAGTCGCTGTTAACTTAGCCTCTTAGGTCCTTCGTCTCATCATCTTTGATTTAAATTACATAATTTCTCTATTTGCTTCCCAGCACAAAGTTTAAAAGTTTGGCATTATTTGCACAGAACATTGTGGTCAGTTAGTGCAAACATGTTTTCTAGTGTTTGTCCCAAATATGACTACCTAAAGTGGTCATCTATGTTACTCCCATGTACTTCTGCACCCTTGCCCTCACTTTTTTCTGTTCATTATTTCTTTACACTTCAGGGTCCCATGTTATCCCAAGTACCTTCTCTCCAATCTCAGCTAGGTCTCCTCCAGGCAACATTTTCAAGTCTGGGAGGAGAGCGCAGGCCTCCAAAACTTGCTGGTACCTCTTTTCATTCATCTCTGATCCAAAAAGGATGTTGTCCTTTATGGTGCCGTTCTGAATCCAAGACTGCTGTGGGACATAGGCAATAGTACCCTAGATGGAAAAGGATTAGACCACATTATAGTTATAGCTCCAGAAATGCAGGATTGAAGGGATGGTGTGGCTGGAGGGAGGACTGATGGATCTTAGATTTGAAGAACTGTGTGTCAGGATGACCGAGGATGTGATATTTATTAATGTGCTCTTATTTGTTGGATTGACCAGGGAAGAAGAGTCAATGCCCTATTCACCATTTAAAGTCCTCTTTTTTGTTTTTTTGACTATCACTTTCCAGCTGTAATCCTAATGATCAGAAGAGGAATACATGTGCAGCTTCTAGAAGAAGGTTTCAGTGAAACCCGGTGAATTGACTCAGACAGCGGAGTGCTAACACTTACAGAAGGAATGGCATAGATGACATCTTAGGAAGCAAGAGTTGAGAGGTTAAAATTAGAAAGCCTGAGTAATACACAGTGAAACATATTCAGAGAGAGATTGAGACTGACAAGTACCGGTGCTTGAGGAAGAACTTGTTATAGGTAGCAAGAAAAAGTTTTCCAAAGAAACTAAAAGTCAGAGATAAATCTGTAGGTCTGTACTGCCATATGCATGTTTTATTTTTATTTATTTATTTTTTGAGACAGTTTCACTATGTCACCCTTGGTAGAGTGCTGTAGTGTCATAGGTCACAGCAACCTCAAACTCCTAGGCTTAGACATTCTCTTGCCTCAGCTTCCCAGTAGCTGGCACTACAGGCGCCTGCCACAATGCCTGGCTATTTTTTTGTTGCAGTTGGCCCCAGCTGGGTTCGAACCCACCAGCCTCAGTGTATGTGGCTGGCGCCGTAACCACTGTACTATGGGCACTGAGCCATATGCATGTTTTAAAAATGCAAATTAGCTCATTAGTGATTGGTAAATCAGAGAACAAAGTCAGTGTATTGTGGAAGAGAAGATGGTTCTTAAAAATTTTCCAAGTGGGTCAATACAAAGCAATTAGGAGGAAGCTTCTTCGTAATTAAAAAAAAAAAAACTTTAGCAATGTACAAAGATCTTAAGAGGGGCGGCGCCTGTGGCTCAAAGGAGCAGGGCACCAGCCCCATATGCTGAAGGTGGCGGGTTCAAACCCAGCCCCCCCCCCAAAAAAACTGCAAATATCTTAAGAAAAAAAGCTGAAAATATATAGACAATGATTCTTTTTGATGTAAGTAGTGACTAGTTTAATGCTTCAAAAATAGCTGTAATTTTCCCTGAACATAGCTCTCTGGAAAAGTTCAGAGTGCTGATAAAGATAACATGAAAGTGTTTTCCTATGTATTAAAAAAAACATAATTAATGAAGTCAACACTACATCAGATTTTATATTAAAAGCAAATGCTATCAAAGATTCAGCTCCAAGAAAAACTCAATTTATTTGCAGTTGGGGGTGGGAAGAGAAAGAAGGGGAAAGAGGGAGGAGGGAGGGGATTAGTGTTCTCTCACCTAAGGGGCACAGTGCAAGGGTATATGGCACACCTCCTGGGTGAGGGGATCTTACCGAACAAGAACAAACATTGTCACCTAATCATTTGTACCCTCATATTTGTCTGACATTTATAAAGAAAAAACAAAAAGATGTAGCTTTGAAAAGAAGAGGAGGACTGGGACTAATTGTGATGGTTGGGTACCAAAGCCAGGGTACCCAACCTGGCATTGCCTTTACAATGCTACTGTTTTGTTCTTAATGTTACTGTTACTATTGCTATTGTTTTTGTTGGCAGTTTGGTTATAAGTTTCATAAATTTTTGGTGATCTCTTAGAACTCTTTCTCCCTAGGTACTATTATTTCTATTATAATGTGAGGTTTTCAGAAACACACAGATATAGCAGATATGCCTATACTTTGGAGATGTCTAGCAACAATTTTCATACTTTAGTATGCATGTGAGAATCACCTGGAGGGTTCATCAAACATGCAAATTCGTAGACCCGAACCCCAGAGTCTGACTATTTAAGCCTGGGAAGGGGCAGAGAATCTATAGTTCACAAATTTACCAGTGTCTCCAAGGCCTCAGCTTGGCATACTTCCAATGGAAAAAGCACTAGGTGCCCTCGCTGGGGGGTCAAGTCTCCTCCATTGCCATTTATTCTCACCTTGATGGTAATGTGCCCATGGATGTTTTCCATTTCTCCCAGCATGGCTGATATCAAAGAGGATTTCCCAGAGCCCACGGTGCCCACCACAGCCACCAGTTGGCCTGGCATAATGTCCAGGTTCACACTGAAAGAAGTATATTTGAAGGAGATGTCAGTGGGTGGGTATTCAACAGTAGTTCAAGCTGCTTCTCTGACTCTCCACAAAGTCTGGTGTTAGATTTTCCTTCAACATTAGAAAATTTGCCTCCATTTAAATAAATAAAAACAATTGAAGTAAAAAAAAAGAAAAGAAAAGAAAATTTGCCTGAGATATAGAAAACCCAAATATGCTTTTTTTTTTTTTTTGAGACAGAGTCTCACTTTGTCACCTTCAGTAGAATGCCGTGGCATCACAGCTCCCAGCAACCTCCAACTCTTGAGTAGCTGGGACTACGGGTGCCTGCCACAATGCCGGGCTATTTTTGTTGCAGTTGTTACTGCTGTTTTAGCTGGCCAGAGCCAGGTTTGAACCTGCCACCCTTGGTATATGGGGCTGGCGCCCTACCCACTGAGCCACAGGTGCTGCTCCCAAATGTGCTTCTTTAATGATTATTTTAAAGCTCTAAAAGGCTAGAAAAAGATCCCTAATTTATCCAACTCATGTATAAGTTGTTTGTGCTGAAGGTGGGTTTCCAGTGGTAAAAATTCTCCTAGAACTCACGTGGTACCATTGAACAAGAACAAGGGAGCCTGGAGACCTGACCTCATTCAAGTTCCAACTCTGCCACTGCCTGGCTTGTGTGATCTTGGAAGGTTAGTCACTCCCTTTAAGGACACTTGTTTCTAAACTAACGAGACTGGATTAATGTTTTCCAAACTTAGCTTTTCAGTAAACCAACTGGAATACTTGCTGACAATAGCTTCTCTGGACTCTCTCGTGAAACTGGCCAGGGCCGGGTTCAAACCCGCCACCCTCGGTATATGGGGCTAGTGCCCTACCCACTGAGCCACAGGTACTGCTCCCAAATGTGCTTCTTTAATGATTATTTTAAAGCTCTAAAAGGCTAGAAAAAGATCCCTAATTTATCCAACTCATGCATAAGCTGTTTGTGCTGAAGGTGGGTTTCCAGTGGCAAAATTCTCCTAGAATCCATTGAACAAAACCCCAGAGGGAGCCTGGAGACCTGACCACTTTCAAGTTCCAACTCATCCACTGCTGGGCTTGTGTGAGCTTAGAAGGTTAGTCACTCCCTTTAGACTAAGAACACTTGTTTCTAAACTAATGAGATTGGATTAATATTTTCCAAAATTAGCTATTCAGTGAACCAACTGGAACACTTGCTGACAACAGCTTCTCTGGACCTTCCCATGAAGATTGGCTTGTGTCTTGGTGGCGAGGGGCCCATAGTGGGCTGGATTCCTGAGCTCTGTGTGCTATCCCTGTTCTTTGAGTCTGTCAGACATTAGGAACATTAGGAACTTGCTCAGAGCCTTTCTGACCCTGTTCACCCTGCTGAACTTCTTGCGGACTTATAGAAGTAAAACAGAAGCTCTGTCTTGTCCGTTCTTTGGGGTTAGGACTGTCAGAGCAGGGGCTCTTGCCCTGACTCATCCCAAGGCTAGCTCCAGATTAAAGGCAGTGGAAATAGGAGAGAAGGGTAAGAGGTCATGGGTGTAGCAAGAAGGCCATAAGGTGTGCTCCTGTGAAGGAAGAGAAGAGAATGACTTGTCCTGCCTCCTGGTGGTCTCTGTGTGTGCTGTGCTCAGTGGATGAGTTGGGTGTGGCATAGGGCTGAAGAGACATAGTACACGCAGCAGCATGGCATGAGGGGACTGGCTTAGGGCAGTACCCCTGCCTGGAAGAGGAGTTGGCCTCCAGGATGGGGTGTGGGAGTGGGCATTTCGATGTGAAATTGAATCTTATAAATGCGGCTCCCATTGTCCAGTCTGAGGGAAAAAGTCAGATTCCAGTGTTCCTGATTACTATTCTCAAATGAAACAATGAACTTACCCTGAGTTTAGGTTCTTATGTGTGCCCTTTACCATACCTAGAGACCCGGGCCACCTCTAACCCTGCACTTCCTCCATCCTCGACCTGGAGAACAAATGTCTCTGTGGATTCTCACCTGGACGTTCACATCCCACAGCAGGAAAGCATGGTGGATGATGCAGTTAAGGAGAAAGAAGTTCAGGGTCTTTCTTCTCATCCAATTTCTCCACAGGTTTAGCCTACACTAATATCTAACTGAACATAAGTACATAGCTTGTTTCCCTGTGTATTCTATTACATTGCTTCCAAGAACAGGATAAGAAGAGCCCTAAAGAATAGCAGGATGAAGAGAAGGCCACTCACTCTCGGACTGTGGTTTCCAAATCATGTTCCCAAGTAAAGGAGGCCTCAGAAAACTGCACAGCTTTGTCTGTTGGGAAAAAGAGATCCCTTCTATTAGACAGATGGAGGTTTCTGTGTGTCTGTTTAATAAGTTTAGAAAGCAACTTCCAAATTCATTTACCGAAATTGCTGTCATGTCGAATGGCAGATGTGTCCAAGTCATCCCCTCCCAAGTACTTCTCTAGCCGATCTATAGAAACACTGGCCTAGAGAAGGACACAGACGAGCTCAAGTTTAACAAACTCAGTAACAAGCATGAGCCAGGAGAAAAGTTTGGCTTTGTCATCACTCCGTGATTTGCCATTTGCCACAGTTGGAAACTCCCAAACCCCACCACAGACTCAGCCCTGGGAACCGTCCCACCCTGAACATACAGAAGTGGGTACTCTATTTCAGCCTGTCAGAAGACTCATGGAGTTCAATTCTATTCTGCCACATACTTCTATCTCTCTTTGATCTCTGGTTCTAGTTCCAGAAACTGTCTCCTGCCTTCTTCTGAGACAAAAGCCTAACTTCTGTCTGGTCCTGACAAATGGGCCCCTGGCTTGCTCTTACTCAACAGAGTCTACGTTTTGATAACCCATCCAATATTCTAACTGAGCTACTCCTATGACCCCCTGTAAAGGAATTAACCATGGCATCATTTTCACAAAGACCACATTGCTTAAATTGCAGCTGGCCTAAATGCTCTCAAGTTCCATGGTTCCCCTGGAACGTGAAAACTTGGGAGGATTTTAAGGAGCTTCTGTAAGTGGTGTTTCTCACCTATCTCCCTATCTTCATCTTCCCAAGCTGTCATGAGATGGTTTCTTATTGCCATCCATGCTCTGATAAAGTGCCAGCCCTTCTGCTCAGTCTCTTCGAAGGGTATAACTGCAGGCTATAAAACTGCTCAGCTACAGCATGGGTGAGCTCCTCAGAAGCAGAGGGCCCACTGCCTATTTTGGTTGCAGCCATCATTGTTGTTTGGCAGGCCCAGGCTGAATTTGAACCTGCCAGCTCAGGTATATTTTACTTTTTATTTTTTAATTTTTTTTGCAGTTTTTGGCCAGGGCTGGGTTTGAACCCACCACCTCTGATATATGGGGCCGGCACCCTACTCCTTGAGCCACAGGCACCACCCCCCACTACCTCTTTTGCATTATTACGTGACCCCTTTTTGTTGTTCAGTATCATCCTGGGTGACAAGGAATGCTGTGCGCTGACACCTTTGCAATCTTGCTTTTCTTATCTATTATAATAAGCCTTACCTAAAAAGAGCATGTTTTTTCTTTACCTGCCAAATCTGTCAGCTTTTCTTCATAACTTCCAAAACAAGGAGGCCTTCTCTCTAAATCCTAGTTCTTCCTATGGCCTGAGCTGTCTGAAGCCAGCCACCTCTGGAGAATCAGACCATTGCACTCCACCCCTGTCATCAGCCTGCCACCTATCTTGTGAACTTCCTCCTGAGATCTGGTGCTTGGCCAATCTCAGTGACAGGGTTCAGTTCTTAGAACCCAGACATTCCCTCTGACCCATCCAAAGCAAACCCCAAATTCATTTTTGGTAGCACAAGCCTCCCACATTGCATTTGGTTTGACTACTACAGGGGCTCATGCAAATGAAAGGTCTAATTTGCCTAATGTTATAGAAATATCTCAAGAACACTGGAAAAATATGGGATAAACTGAGCTGGGAAAAGAACTTGGAAATGTTCCCAGCACCAGAGCTAATTATAATAATCTCATTCACAAGATTGTCTCCCTGTGAAGTAGATGAGATTTATGTGATTTTCCTCATTTTACAGTCAGACAAGCTGGGGCTCAGAGAGCTCATGATTTTGCTAAGATCAAACCACTGCTCTTCAGAGACCAAACAGAGCTCTCTAATTGGAAGTTCACCAGCAGAAGCTAGACATTCAGGACTCTGAGGCTTTTAACCAGGAAGAATTCTGACCCACCTGGAGCATGGAGGAGATCACCATGGGTAACATGCTCAGGGGAAAGCGCAGGATATTGAAGAGGGTGATGGAGGTGAAAGCCTTCTGTGCATCCAAGACATTGTTGCTGTCCACCAGGACATAAACAGAAAATGTAGTCACAGACACCTGGAAAGGGCAAGGTCATGAGCAACGTTTGCCTAGAAGGGACCCAGCACCCTGTGCTAAGTTACAGAACCAGGTACACAGAGGTCAGAGTTGTAGGAGCTTGAAGATTATCCCAGTCTATGTTACTGCTAAGAAAACTAAGCCCAGGAGAGAAGAAAGTATCTTGCCCAAGGTCATAAAGTCAGTTCATCAGATCTCAGGTCTCCTGGCTCCTAGATCAGTGTTCCTTCTGCTACAGACTCATACCACCTCCCCCGTTAAGACAAGAACTACGCCCCACCCCCCCCACCCCACCCCCCGATTCCCCCACCCCCACCAAATCATTCCTGGATAGACATTTGTCAGGGCCCGGGCCTGGCCAGGTCTTTAGCCTGGCTTAACTAGGTTCCAGATGCAGACTGCTAAGTTACCTTGCTCAGGTCTCTTAGGTGCCTGAGGGCTATCTACTTTAGCTAGAGAGAGAGAAATAGTCTTAGGAGTAAAGCAGTCTTCCTAGAATAGATCTTAGTCTTTAGCAGAGCTTGGTAATCTTCAGCAGAAAGATACTGTGCTGGCATTCTGCAGGCAGGAGAGGAGACAGAGTCAGAGTAAGTCAGCATGCTCCTGACTGCTTTCTCCTCCAGCCTAATATAAGGCTGATCTCGTGTCTCTCAACACCACAGGTGTAGAGACTGCCAATTCACCAATGCTCTTATCTCACGAGCTCTCTCATGCTTGTTAGAACTAAATCCCTCTCCATGCCCTTTTCACCAAGGTGTTCCATTATTGAGCTTATAACTCTCACTCCTCCTAGCCATAGGCTATACGGGCTGCTACAGACATTCATGCTGCACTTCCTAAAACCTGCTCTGGGATGCTGGACCACCAAACAATACATATGGGTGAAACTAGAGTTGGGGGCACTAAGTAGGAAGAGCAGCATGGGGCATGGAGGAGGGGAGATAAGTTCCCTGGATTTGGGGGTTAGGCCTAGAATTACTAGGTAATCAGTCTATCAGAAAGAGAACTTCCTCCTTAGGAGGCTGACTCCAGTCCGAAAGGACACCAGCCCACTGACTCCTCAGCTACTCACCAGCACTGGAGCTAAGTATAAGAGGAATGTTATTGTAGACTGTAGCTGACCAAAGACCCGCAAGTTCTTGAGCTCCTTCTTCCGGAGGTTATGGATGTGTTCTTTGAATGAAGGTTCCCAGGCAAAATATTTCAGAATCTATTAAGTTAGAAAACAGCACAGCTCACATTGTTGCCCCCAAAGAGTACCAGGTGCATCTGATCCACCTATGTTTTAAGATGTGCTCCCAAAGTGTGAGAGTTAGAAATCCAGATTATAAAGTATAATCACAGAAAAGATGTTTGTATTAGTTGATAATCTACTATGTACGAAGCATTTTAGATACATTATCTCACTTCTTTATTTCGTCTCTCTTTTTTTTTTTTTAGAAATAGGGTTTTGTTCTCACAGCTCAGGCTGGATTGCAGGGGCACAATCATAGTTCACTGCAGCCTTGAACTCCTGGGCTCAACTAATCTTCCTGTCTCTAGGCTATGGAGTAGCTGGAACTAGAGGTATACACCACTACACTTCGCTAATTTTTCTTTTTGTTTTTTTGTAGTGATGAGGTCTTACTATATTTCCCAGGCTAGTTTCAAACTCCCAGCCTCAAGCAATCCTCCTGCCTTGACCACCCCAAGTGCCATGTCTCACTTAATCTTTCTAACAACCTTAGTGTGACAAGCTATTCCAATTTTCCTGGGACTAAAGGCTTGCTCAGGACATAGGCCTTTCACTGCTAAAACCTGGAACGTTCTGGGCAAATCAAGATGAGTTAGTCACACTACTGTTGAAGAATTATTGTCTCCATTTAAATAATAAGAAAACAAGCTAAGAGACATAACTTGCTCAAAGTCACCAAACTAGCAAGTGATGGAGCTGAAATTTAAAACCAGATCTGTCTTCTAATTTTGCCAGGAAAATTTTGCTTTCTTATCAGGAAGACATATCAGAGCTCTGTGTGGATAAATAACAGGGAGTTAAAAGGGACCTCTGTTTCATTTCAAGAAGGTTAGGATCATGGTAAAATTCATTAATTCAAAACATGTCTTTCTTTCTTTTTTCTTTTTTTGAAACAATCTCAAGCTATCTTCCTGGGTGTGGCATCATAGCTCACAGCAACCTCCAAATCTTGGGCTCAAGCAAGTGATCCTCCCACCTCAGTTTTTCTTTTTTTTCTTTGTAGTGGAGACAGGGATCTTGATTTTGCTCAGGCTGGTCTGGAGCTCATGAGCTCAAGCAATTCACCCGCCTTGTCCTCCCAGAGTGCTAGGATTACAGATGTGAGCCACTATGCCCAGTCAAAAAACATTTCCTTTTTTTTTTTTTTTTTTT